TCCCTCGTACTACTATGTCTGTTTCCTCTGGTCATAGCCGACCACGCTCGGGGTGGCCGATGAGCGACAAGCGAGATGCTTGTCCACCTTGCCAACAAATACCGGCTTATGATCTGGGTTTTTCCACTGTTAGAAATGCCACGTGCCCCGTCCTTCCCCCGGTGCCAACCTCACCGCTATGGCTTCTTGTCCCAGCCTCTGGGAAATTTGACCCCACGTGCATAAAGCGATATCTGAATTATTTCTCTCTCACAGTTTCACCGAAAGTACTGTTTGTGGGAGACTTCCGGTTCTGGTCACTCTGTATGGAAGATGCAAAGCCAGGCTTCTGACACCCTCCTTCCAAACTGGGTGTTCAGCCCCATTTGGGAATCTGATTCTGGGTGCTACTCATGGCTCGTGTCCTCCAACTCGGCAGTGCTGGAGGAAGCTTCCTGCCTCCTTCAGAATAAACCTCAAACTCCTCACGCTGCCTTCAAGGTGGCCCACCTGGCCCTACCTCCCTCTCCTGCCCCTCCCCTCTCCCTCTCCCTTCCATCCCCCCGAGCCGTCCTGGACTTTTTCTATTCCTCAAACATCCCCAGCTACTGCCTGCTTCAGGCTTTTTGGGAGTGTGTTCCCTCCCTCTAGAAAATTCTTGTCCGGCTGTGACAAGCACTTCTGTCACCTTTTCTCTCCAGTCCACCCCAGAGACTTGGTTACAATTGTAATGAGCATAATGGATGTTGGAAGTGACTTTCTCATTGGATTGCCTAGCAACGTCATCCAGGCCCTGCTTTGTACGAACAGGGCACAAGCATCCTGCAGCCCTGGTCACCTGAACTTTACAGTTCTAGGTGTAGGTAGAGAGTTTTGAGCCTGTCCACGTACCAGCCACGTTCATGGAGGATTTTTGTGGCCTGACTCCAATGAGAAGTTTTGCTGAATTCTGGCTGCACAGCGCAAGCTGCCAGCTCAACCGCTCGGTACAGCAGAATTCAGCCTGAGACGTGTGGTCTCAGCGAGGCTGATGTTGTCGTCCACCTTTAATTGTTGAAGGCTACTGATACCCACCACAAAGAACCGGCTGTCCTAAAACCAGATGCTTTCGTGTCAGTCAAGACAAGGAGTGATGTTTCACAGAAAAGAAGAGAGGGTGAAAAGAGGCTGAGGTTGCAGTAGGAGACAGCTTAGGACATGCATCCACCTTTGTCTTTCCTAGGGCTGGTTGCTAGGAGGCCCACACTGAACTTTCTTTCAGATTCCACAGAGCAGCATAGAGACCCTGAAGGCCATCATCCAGTACAAGCTGCCAATGAATGTGCACAATAAAGACAACCTGTACTCTGTAAGTGTGAGACGGGGCACAGAGCAAGGGGGAGGGCGGCGTCTCTAAGGGAAGCAAGATGGCCTCTCAAAGGAAGTGGGAGGAGAGCGAAGGGGAGGACGGACCCGGAAGGGACAGTGGGAGATGCGCAAAGAGAGAAGGCTGGGCCTCACAAGGGAAGTGAGCGGGTCTTCGAGAGGCTTTTGGGGGGGGTGGGCGGGACGTTGCTTAAGAGAAAAAGATAATTCCTTGGTTTATGTAGCTACAATCCAAGGTGTAGATTTCAGGCATGGCTGGAACTAGGGGCTCAAATGTGACCCAAGGTACATTTTGCCTTCTTGGTTTCTAGCCTTGCTTTACCCTCCTAGTCCTGAGATAGTCCAGCGGCTCCTAGGGCTACAGCTCCACGCATTCAGGTCCAGCTAAAGATCCAGCTAAAGCCCAGATCTTCACCGTGATTGGACCACCTGAGGTCACGTGCCCAGACCCAATCCAATCATGGCGCAGATGGCGCCCTCTGCCTTAAACCAATCAGGGGTGCCCTCTGGAGTAGGGGGTGGAGTCGGCCCTGTTCCCCTGGTCACCAAGAAGTTCCGGGTGCAAAGTGAAATCTGCGAAGGCAGAGATCAAATATCGAACTCCACTGTTCTACGAGTTTTAGGTATCTTAGCTCATTTACGGCTTAGAACAACCCAAGGAGTTGGGTCCTGATATTCTCGCCTCACGAACGAGGACTCCAAGGCACGGGGAGTTTGAGTGGCCCACCTGGGAGTGGAGGAGCAGGCACTTGTGCGCGGTAGGACGGCGAGTAGCATCCCGGCGGCCATGCCCTCGACGCGGGCAGCAACCTCCCAGTTGAAACAACTGGCGATCTTAAGCCTTGTCGTCTGGCTGAAAAATCATGCTTTAGGAAAAGCTGATGGGATAAGATGGGACGGG